ATGTATGCCTTCTTGGACCCTCACAGAAATACTCTGCATCTTATTCCTTCCTGTTTTATCACTGCTAGAGAACACAAGGTTCTGGAATTTTGGAGTGTACTGTTTTGGACACTGCTGCACACTGGCTTCTGTGTGCATGGATTGCCCAGCATACCCAAGGGTAATAATAAATTGCCACATAAGTCAACTCTCAGTAAATTGTCAGATATGAGGTAGAATAATGTACCAATGACAGAGTGCCTTCCAGAGATTTCTGATCAAATTTACAGCATGATTCTCCATACCAGACCTGTTTGTTTCCACTTCATGGCTGTCTGTATGAGCACTGTCCTGTTTTTATCTTGCACAACTAAATTAATGAGTAGCACAAGTAAGGTACTCTGTTTATTCATAATGGGAACTCTTAGACTAACTTAATAGATCGTACTTAATGTTTTCTTGGCATTTCTATGTGTATATAAAGAATATGTGACAAATGCCATGATAGTGAAAGACATGATTGAAATGTTGACAAGAGACCACTCTCAGCTAATTCTCTTTAATGATAATCCTCTTGCCTTAAAAGCTGTCATTGTCATTGCAAAACTTCCTCACTTATCTGTGAGAACTGGTCAAAGTGCAGAAGGCAACTGAAAATTATTAGTCTGAATTACATCTTCCTGTTGATGTAGATGGCATCCAAGTACAAATCCAGGTAGGACTTGCTAGTTCCTACTCTTGAACTAAGTGAGGAAATGGCATTTTTGTACATCTGTTACCACCAACTTTTGATTTTGTTGCTCAAAAATAGCTAACAGGTATTTCAAGTAATTCAAGAAGTTTAATGAAGGTACACTTGACATGGGTTATCTTCACACACCAGAATATGCTGAGAGCTGGGAAGTTATGTTGGACAGGACAGTATTAAGAGCCATTCCTTCTGCTACTTCCTTTCTGACCCATGTTTAATAAAAGCATGTTTTTATGCTTGGGAAAGGGAGAACAACTAAAACAATCGGTATGTGATTTTTCCATAGCTGCTCAGGAAAGTCCATTCCAAAATCTATCTTAATCATAACTTGCCTGGCATTCACTGAAAGGATACACTTTTTCAGTTTTGATCTACCATACATTATGGAATCTGGCTAATTGAAAATGAACTGGTTTTATAGCACAATAAACGCATGTGTGTATGTTTATAAATATTGTGGAATTTTTTTAAGTGAAATAATAACCATTTTAAAATAATTTTATATTTACTGTAGCCTTCTGTATTAATTTATTACTCCATACAAGCATTTTTCATATTTAATATTTTCAGTCAGAATTTCTAGCAGATTCGCAGAAGCTGGATTTTGTGGTTTCTGAACCTCTGCATTCCCTTTTCACCTAGCAAAAACCTGAGGTACTCTATGTTGGAACCGAGGTAGATAGCTGATGAGAGGTATAGGAAATTTCTGAATTTTATTTCTGGTGTGTTTTGCAGTCCTGGACAAATTGCATTGGGGAGCTTTTCAAATACACAAATTTGCAGGTTTAGCAAATGAATTGTGAGGCAGACTGTTAAAACAGGCAAGAAATGGGCTGACAGTGCTGTGTATCTACAAACAATGGTGTAAGGGGCTCATGGACCTCCATCCAGGTTTGGGAGGGGTCAGGGCTTTTGAGGCCATCCATGGGGATTACAGGAGATAAGAAATGGTGCTTTTAAATTGCATTGAGAGCTCTTTTAACAGAGCATGTCCAACAGTATATACAGGTAAAAAATGACAATACAGTGTTGAAAGAAGTGGTAATCTTGTGGTTCAGTCACTGGATAGGAATCAGGAGTCCTTGGATCAGTTTATGGCTTTGCCACAGACTTCCTGTGTTACTTTCAGCCAATCACTTAATCTCTACATCCACCATCTGTGAAATAACAAGGCCTGGAACAGTTTGTCTCTGAAAGCATTTATCTAATTTAGCTGTTATTATAAAAGTTAAATATTAAGGAACTGTTATATCATGGGATAAAACCATGCCACATCTATTTTCACTGTGAACTTCGTTCTTTTGCTATTACGTTCTTTTTCCTCATTGTTCAATAAAATGAAGCACAGAAACATACAAAATAAGTATCGTTAGGCTCTGTACATATCAGTCTTCCAAAGCTTTTCAAAGTGTTCAGTAAATTGTGTCTGTCTGAATGCAGGCACAATGTCATCCACATGTAGAAATACACTGTGAATTCTTTGTTCAAATTCCATCAATATTCTGTCAGAGAAGAGAAATAGTTTAGATAAGATCAATTTTCTAATGTGTTCCTTCAGAAAGGAACTAAGGAGTGATCCTAAAAATGACTAAATCCGGTGTCTAAAATGGAAAAAATTCACTATATTTTGAGGACAGGTGAGTAACTAGCACCCATTTCCCAAACTAGACTTTATTTTCCAACCTTGTCTCTCTTTGAATATGCATAGTATGTTTGTTTTGAGGTGCTTCCAGATAGAGGGAGAACAAGTGAATTTCAAAGAAATCCTCACTATTCATTTAATGAAATGGGGAAGCTTCCTATTTGATTGGCTATACGTCCTTGTAGGTAGGATGATTATGGAGACTTGAAAAGGTCAGCATTGGGTTCATTCTAATTTTAAATAATTAGTAATAAATATGGGAATTGGTAATTATCTAGCACAAGACTTAACTAGTGTATCTATACAGCAGAAATGCAGGGACATCTGTAGCACAATTACATTCAAATGAACTGGTAGTGAAGCAATTGGTGCGGAAACATATGTAACATTCATAGTCAGTAGCTTGACCAAACTGGCTCTATTGATATCTTAGTTTTAACTCATAAGAAATTTCCCAGTATAATGGTAGCCTCCAAGAGATGTAACCCTGAAATGTACATTTACCTCCCCCTTACAGTCATAACCCAGCAATGCAAGCTAGTAACAGTGACCCATCATGTTTTACAGATTTTTAAATATGCCAGCTGTCTATATTGTCACATGCACTGACCTGTAATCCCTGGACCATTCATGTTTCTGGATTAAGGAGTCTGTCTCAGCCATCTCAGCTTGCTGTCTGAAGTTTTATGAGGTAAAATAATCTTTGAGAGATCGTTTCTTCAGTGAGTATCTGATATGGCCCACAGACTGTTTCAGATTGGTTACAGATTACTTTACAGCAACATTTTTGGGAACGTTTATTTAGAGATCTATAGCATAGATCTCTTTCCAAAAACTCTAGAAAACATGCCTAGAACCATCAAATCAGGGAGGCATTTAGTTGGAAAGTCACTCACCTTTACTGGAAACAAATCATACATATTCTCTGGATTGCCTTTTGTAATGCAGGAGCTGTTACAAACCTCAAAACCAGAGAGTTGCTTTGGCTTCTGCAGCCACCAAAAAATTTGTACAGTTGTGTTCTCAGATGGTTTGGCACAGATTTAGCAGCACAGTTTTGCTCCGAGGAACCTTTGTATCCCTTACTTGTCTGCTGGGACAGATGTTTGGTGATGTCCTGAGTCTACCATGAGTTACTCTTGTACCTTATTGTGTTAGCATCTTCTACAACATATGGTACATTACTTTTGCTGAGATGGATTGTATTTTGTATTTGGAGATGCAGACAGAGCCTTGTAAGAGCTGACAGGGAGCATAGAGGCCCCCCTGCAGGAATCTCACTGCCAGCAACAGCCTGATTCATGCAGTAACATTCCAGAGATGAGCAGAAGCCTTGGAAGAGGTACATCATACAGTAGTAGCGTAATGTACTTCTGAGAAGTATATTATAATCAACCACATAGGATCTAATCAGTCTTTTCTACTTCTGTTTTTTCTGATATATATGCTGAACCTTAAGTACCATATAACACAAAATTCATACTAGTAAAGCAAGACTTCATTTTACATTTTACTCAGATCAAACAAATTCTGTGCCTGATGAGAGTCACCAACAGTGCAAGGCAACATAATATTTTAATTAAAAAGCTAAAGCAAAGCAGTAATAATTAATGTTATCTCACCAAAACCACACTCATCTCCCCTGCAGCTACAGGATTTGCTAAAAAAAAAACAGCAATCAAAAAGCCATAGAGTAATGGATTAAAGATGCCTTCTAGCCTGGAAGCTTTAGACAATACATTACCAATATATGATTCTCAATAGGAATTTTGTGAGGAACATCATCATTTAGAAACATAGTCAGCAGGCATCAGTTTCATCTTTTTTTTTTTTTTCCTTCTTTTTTTCTTTTTTTTTCTTCTTTCTTTTTTTTTTTTTTCTTTTTTTTTTTTTGGCATTGCAGACTGGCAGTACTTCTCTCCAGATGTACCATTTGGCACATTAAGCTATTCTTTTCTTAGAAGGGGAACCTATGGTTTTGCCATGTAATGCAAAACACCAATGGAATCACTACATAAGCAAAATGCCAGTAATGGTATAGTGGTCCAGCCACAAACATTGGTATGTTAATTTTGTTTTATTTTTCCCAGTGTGTCATCTGTAGTACTGTATTTTGCATTGGGACTATAGCTGGGCTGTTTAGTGTCAGATTTTAAAGTGTATTTTCAGGGAGAGATTTAAGCTAGGAAACTAATGGTTTTGATGCTTTAGGGAAGAAAAACAAAGCAAAACAAAAAAATCCACACTTAATATGGCTCTAACTATCATTTTAGCCTGATTTTAGAGAACAGGCCAAATTTACCCCTCAATTATAGCTGTTCAACCCAACAGCTGCATGCAATGATAATGGTATCCAAATACATTTGAAAGCAAGTAGTTTATGCTAAATCTGTGGCTTCTACTTGCCATTACTTTCTAAGAGTAACTTTGCCTTCAAATGACATTCTGGCTTATTTGTAAGAAGATTTAAAAAAAATAATAGCATACTCAGTTTGCATTTAAAAAGCAGGTGACAGGTCTTTTAGTCTTCTGTGCTGTCTTCACTCTTTAATGGCTCATCAAATTATCCAGTTTTTGCAAACATAGCAGCTCTTAAGTTGTACCTCCTGCATTTCAGCTTACTGTCTGAATCTGTACTCTGCCACGGATGATCACAGAATAGAATCATAGAATATCGCAAGTTGGGAGGGACCTGAAAGGATCACTGAGTCCGATACCTGGCTCCACACAGCACTACCCAGAAATCTGACCATGTGTCTGAAAGCATTGTCCAGATGGATTCAAGGTGAGTCCATACCTGTGCAGTGCGGAGCAGAACAATAACTTCCTTTGCCTGTGTAGCAATGCCTTGATGCACTCCAGGATACAAGTGGCCTTCCTGGCTACTTGAGCACTCTGTTGACTCATTTCCAACTTTATGTTGACCAAGACCCCCAAATCCCTTTCAGCAGGGCTGCTCTCCAGTGTCTCATCCTCCAGTCTTTATGTATAGCCAGGGTTGCCCCTTTCAAGGTGCAGAATCTGGCATTTATTCTTGTCATGCAAGTGGTGATTGCCCAGCTCCCTAATTTGTCTAGATCTTTCTGTGAGGCCTCTCCACTCCAAACTGGGTCAATTTAGATCCTCTCAACTTAGTATCATCAGCAAACTTGCTCAAAATGTCTTCTGGTCCTACATGCAAGTCATTTAAAGAAATCTGGTCCTAATATGAAGCCCTGAGGAATCTCACTAATGGCTGGCTGCTAGCCTGATGTAACCTCATTTACCTAACCTTTCGGGTCTGAGCCATCTGCTAATTGCTCACCTGTCACGTTATGCTTTTGTCTATCTGTGTGCTGAACATTTTATCCAGAAGGATACTGTGAGAAGCAGTATCAGAAGCTGTCTGAAATCCAAAAAGATAACAGAAACTGGTTTCTATGGTCAACTAGATGGGAGACCTTGTCATAAAAGGAAATGAAGTTAATTAAAAAGGACCTCCCCTCATGAACCTGTGTTGGCTGTGGACAATGACCATGTTGTCCTTCAGATGTTTTTCAATAACTCCCAGCATAATTTGCTCCATAATTTTTACCTGGCACTGAAGTGAGACTGACAGGCCTGTAATTATCAGGATCCTTCTTGCCCTTCCTGAAAATTAGAGCAACGTTTGCTGGCCTTCCAATCAACTGGGACATCTCCACATTCCCAAGACTGTTGAAAAATAATTCAGAGATTTCACAATGACATCAGCCAGCTCTCTAAGTATCCTGGGACAAATCCCATCAGGAAATTAAAAAAAAAAAAAAGTTGTGAAAGAAAATTTGGCTTTAGTTCCTTTCCGGGAGCAGAAAATGTGGAGAGGGATTACATACTGAAGGGGTTTGTTGATCACCACTCTGTTTTTGCATATTAAGAGCAGAATATAAGTTGTTCTTTACTTTTTTTTCCCCTCTTTTCTAGATGGAGATGGGTGTTCTGTAGTCCTTACAGAGAGATCAGGGCCTGCTTTTGTAATAGGTACCATTCATACGTGTATCAGAGCAGGAAGAAAAACTGGGGAAAGGAGAACAAGCCAGGGTAGGTACAGAAGGAGTGATTTGCACAGGTTCGTAAAGCTTATCAGCACCAATATGTTTTTTCTAAACCCTCCATAATGCTCTGAATTGCTGGAAGCTGACAAGAAATATCTCAAGGAGGACTGTTTTATTCTTGTTATGTTTCCTATACACCCACTCAAGCCCTCAGAGGCAGGATATTGGATTAGACAGTTGTTAGGTCTGACCTAGCTTACTCTCATGTAATAATTTCCCAAGCTGGATCTATTTTTTCACCTTGATGTGAAGTAATCACATAGCTTGTTCTTCTCCTGCTGCCTGTGCCCTGCTGTAGTATGTTTGATGATGCTAGTCTCGTTTCTGATTTGTTTGTATAACCATGCCCATAGTCTCATCATCAGCTAGGCACAAAATAGGGCATACAGTGGGCTGAGGGCAAGGAAGTAAATGCATGTACTGTGCTCCCACAGCAAGCAGTTCCTTGCTGCATTAGACCAATCCTGGGTGAGTGACAAGTCCTGATTCATAATTAAATCTTCCTTGGCTGGGTTGCCATATGAACTGGGAGAAATGTTGTCATCTTGGGGAAAGAAAAGCAATGTACTCCCCAGTCTGATTCCTAACTCGTGTTCCTCTGTATTTTACTGTTTGCTGTAACAAATATCTTGTAATTCAAGCTCTCCATAGGTGGGGTCAAACTGTGCTCAGCAGAGTTTCAATAGATAGCAGATTTCTTTCAATTTAAAATGACAAGTGTTTAGCTTTTAACTGACTCCTGCCATTCACCATAAATCTCACCTTTCCTCCTCCCAGGTTAAACATGTCAGCTCTGACTTTTGTCCATCCACACATTCTGAAAACAACAGCTTCTTATTGCCTACATGTAGAGAGTAGTGGAAGATCAACAGTAAGAAATAAAAGTTAGTTCTGCCCAAGTTTCCGCTTTAATCATGTTGTGTTGCTTTTCCAGATTGATTAACTATGGAATTAATAATGGCCAGGTGTGGCACTTTATTCTGGTCTGCCTATATTATTTTGTTTGTTTGTTTATTTGTTGTTTTTTTTTTTTCTGCCCATGAATGCTGGGAAAGAATGCAAGGAAGGTGTTCAGTTGTGAGAACACTTTCATGCTCCCACTGATTCTGTTTCTTAAGTCAGCTCATGTTTAAAACCCGCAGGAAGAGGGGCAAGAAAAATTTCACTTTTTGGGCTTGCATAGGCAAAACACTGGAAGGAAGCTTGAACACTTGGAAAGGAAGCTGATTCTCACTCCTGATCAGCTGCAGAAGTGAGAAGGACAGTGCTGGTGCAGTATCTTGTTTTTTCCTTCATTACTTTAAAACCTTTTCTCTTTGAAGCAAATGAGTAGTGAAGGTTTACAGCTTTTGGAGTTCAAGTGGAGAGAGTCACCACAATATTGCTTCCAGCTCTGCCATGCTGACTCCCATGAGCATGGGAAAACCAGGATTCTTATCCAAGGTAAACTACTCCTTATGAAATTGCTAGCTAAATGTTTCAAAGTATATTTTCTCACACCCATTTACGTTGCAGAAAATTATCACTTTCCATTTGTAGGGTGCTGGAGGGGTGGAGGGTTCAAGGTAAACCGTGAGACTACCAGAGGGATATTTCTTCTTTGAGGTAAATATGTTAAATGCTGTCAAAGTTCAAATTGGCATTGGTAATTCTCAAAAGTACTGGCACTGCTTGACTCACCAGTATGCTGTGAGTCAGTGTACCCATGAAAGAAGTGTTGATTTAGGCAATCAACCTCTTTAAGACTTTTCACTGTGGCATGCCATTTACTCCTCATATTTGCTCTATTTTTGTAAGGCTTAGGCAGCGAAAGTTACATGTTCTCCATTCCAAAGTCCATTCCATTTTTTAATACTTTTCACTTAGATGTGACTTTTCATGCCTGGCAGTCATCCAAGTTGCATGTTAGAAAGCATTTCTGGGGAAACTTAAAAAAAATTGTAGAGTGTTAATGAATTGTTGCCTGCTAAAACAAAGCAAGAGTGGTTTATCACCAATTCTAAAGAGAACAGAAACAATGAAGGCTGAAATGTCGGAACAAATAAGGATGATTGTAAAAAAAGTCACTCTGTGCTCAAGGTATGTTGGTGACAGCTTGAGCTGTTTTAGTGAGAATTAGTAAACGCAGTGCATTCCTATATACTGAGCATGTCAAGTTTATCTCCTACTTCTGCTATACATATTTTAGAGAACTCCTATATATCATACAAAATCATACGTTATTTTCCTTAAGAATCTTCACTGAGCCTTTGCTCTGCAAGAATATATACAAGAAGTTTTACTGTAGCTAGTTGCATCTAGTTTCACATTCATTTCTCCTTCTTGATTTCTGTGGATCTTCTGTTGTTACCTGTTTGCCTATACCTGCATTTTCTCATTTGAACTCTTTGTTTGGAAGTTCTTTGAGGCAAGAACTAAGTTTATATCCTGTGTGCACCTATATCCCTGTCTGTAATTAAGACTCACTATCAATACATCCAGCATCATATGATACTTCCTAAGAATAAGGAAGTATTTGCTTAAGGATGGAATTAGGTTAGTCTGCTTCAGTTATCTCTTTCATTTTTATGTCATTGTACCTTGGGAGCAAAAGTTGTGATGACTTTGCATGACGTTACTCCTAGAAGAGATGGTTAGCTCATTGTGAAACTATTTAGGCTTTCCCCTTTTCCTCTGCACTACTCTCTTCCACACTGCTTTTGTCCCAAAACCTCAGAGCTGTAGGTATGATGTCCAAAATAGAGCAATTGGTGTTTTGTCTGCCCGAGTTCTTTGGGCTTATAAAACTGGCAAGAAATTTGAACAAGAGAAAATTCTTGATGCTGATTTCCCGACACACTGAAATCCAGTGGGTATTTTTTCATTTGGTTTACACAATTCACTGACAGCCTATTATGCTAGTATGTTTCTGTGTCACAGATGAATGAAACTTTTAAAAGCTTTTCATATATCAGCAAAGAAACAGGCTTCTAGTAACAGAGAGAAAACCTACACCGATTTTTAAGGATGCCTTGAAAAGCATGTTATACTGCATTTTACATCGGTCTTAATATCCTTTCGTACTACTAGAATCCTCTTTAATATCAAAAGCTACTACTGAGTGAGGTTAGAGTTTATGTAAATAATAACATGACATAATGAGAAAAGAAGGTGCTGCTAAACCTTACAATCTTTTTAAAATATTTGTCCATGTAGATTTGTTACTAATTATGCTGTGTATTTCACACTGAAAGTAAGGTCTTCTACTTAATTCCATGGAAACTACAACACATATAATGAGCACAATAACACACTATTTGACAGAGCAAAATCATAATTGAAAAACACTAGTTTTCAACAGCCACCACCCCTGATAAGTGTCAATGGGTGCCATTTTTTCCAAATGGAGGTATTCAGTTCCACACCTTTGCTTATTCACATTTCTATGTCAGACTCCATTTTGTCAGATTGCCCCTCTGCTGCCATCTGTTGCACAGTGATAAAATGTAATTGAGTATTTGCAGAAAGGTTCAGCTTCTGCTACCTTATCACCAACATTCTCCTCTGATGTCATGGACCAACATAGTAAAATAGCAGGAATTACATATGGAGCTACGTACGTACTTGTATATAAATACAAGAGTGGAAATTTGTTTTTTTCCATTACAAATCACATTCTAATATTTTGCACTAAGCTTTGGAGTGCAAATGAAATGCAACTGTCCCTGGAAATTTCTTTTTAATATAATCCCACTTTCTAGTTAAACACTCCAGATTAAATATAATGAGCAAGCAAAAGACGATTTCTTTGTTTGGAGTACTGTATAACCAGAAGATTATCTGAGGACTTCCTTATCCTTATCTTGCTCTGTACCTGTAACGGATTGAGAAGGAGCGTAAAGTATCTCAAGCTATGTTTGAATTATTGTTTTTTTTCATCCCAGCAACATGGTTTAGAGCTATTAAGATGTTGGTCTAAGTCACAAGAGTTTTGGAAACCGGAAATACTTGATTTCAGTAGTTGAATTTAAACTTATCTGAAGTTATCAAGATGGTACATAAGTTATGTATTCATCTGATTTTCTTTCCTTATTGGATATCAGTTTCCCTTGGAGAGCAGTTCAAACTGCTTCCAGAGCAGAACTAAACAAACTTCTGAATCACTTCCTGCCTTCCATGAGCTGTGTGACATTTCTTATGTTCTTTCCTTTAATCATTCTTTTCCTGCTTTCCAAATGATTGAGTTGGGAGGGAGCTTTGCAAAACATCTCATCATCAGCTGCATGCTTCTCTCAAACTTCTCACCTTAAAATTAGTGCATTTTATATTTGACTCTCATCTCTCTGATAGTACATGCTTTGAGGTTGGTGACCCTGGGGAGTCTAGCCTACTGCTCTAAATTCAACTTTTCCAAAGATGACACTTAGCCCAAAATCTTAGTTAAATGGCAATGGTCTGATGCTAAATAGTTTGTGTAGAGCCCAGTACCTACTAAATTCCAATGGTTACCCCAGTTTTCAAAAAGGATGTGTGCAATGCTAGTATACTCATTTTATGGGCATTTTTACAAGTAGTGTGTATGCATATGTATACATATTTGTTCTAATGGGAAGCAATTATCAGTAATATTCTAATAACACAGTGCTTCCCAAAGGATATTTCTACTTTAAAAAATCATTCTGAGGAAATATCACCTTTCTTCCATACAATATTATTGTTCCATAACATACCATGGTCTGCAAACACTTGATAACATATCTCTATATTCTTACTGTAGTGAAAGAAAACAGCATTTACCACTTTTATTTCTTTGGACAATGCCGTATGTGCAGATATCTTAGTTTTGGAGTAAGTCTTAGCTTGACTTAGCTAAGCAGTCTTAGCCTGACTTCAGTCAGGCTCCAGATAACTTTTCTCAGCCTGGCAATCAGAAACACCATTTTGCTCAATAAATTAGCATGTGGAGGATTGACGCACTGCTATTGCTGTGCTGGTTGTGTACTTTATGGATATGCAACTAAAACTGTGGAGAAAATAAAAGACTTTCCCTCAGTAGGATCCCCCTAACAGGATCTTCTTGCAATCCCTATACATTCCTCGCACGCACAAAGCCGCAGCTCTGCAGGTAATGGGATAAGGGGCACAGTGAGAGCTGCATGGCAATGCTTGTTTTCATCGCCACTCCTGGAGGTGTTTTGGAGCTGTGAAGTTAAGTGACTGACACGTCCTCCTTTGAGATCCCAAATGAGGGGTAGAGGTAGGAGGTGGAAGCACATCCATCTCAAATGATTTGTTTAAAAGCAGCTGAGATATGGACATACTGTATCAGCTAAAAACAAGGGAGCACTCTCAGAACCACATGAAGTTTAAACGTAGGTGTCCAACCTTTTGGTTTGCCTGGGCTGCACTGAGTGATGAGGAATTGTCTTGGGTCGCATATATGTAACTCACTCCAAAAGTAATAACACCTCCTATTTATTTCCATAGAAACTACAGCACAGATGATGAGCCCTGTAACGCTGATGGCTCAAATTCTCAGCTACACAACAGTATATTTCAGCATAGTCACAACGCTCAGTTCTATATTTTCACCATCGATGAAACAGAGCCTGCATGTTTTATTTGTAAAAACCTGCACAGGTGATCCCTTGTTGCTGCTGCCACTTCTGAAACACTGCTCACGTCCACTGTTTTGTCTCCGTAGATCTTCAGCAAGCACTGATGTATGTCAGTGAGTGCTGCTTTTTCTGCACAGAGGAACTCAGTGACACACCTTTGCTTAATTCACACTTCCATGTCAGACACCGTTTTGTCAGACTGCTCCTCTGCTGCCCTTTTTCTCTCAGCAACAAAATGTGACAGAATATCAGTGGGGATGTACATCCTCCACTGCCATACCACCAACATCTGCCGCTTACGT